CCTCCCCCCCCCCCCCCCCCCGCAGCCCAGGCGATTTTAGGTCCCGACATGGCTTTATACCTAAAATTATATTTTATGACAGTATTGGTATTAGGGATAACTATAATCCAGACTGGGTTTGTTATTATACAGTAATTATTATATTATTTTTCTTCTGATTATAAAAGAAAATTAAAACATTTTTGTGAGCTCCCATCCTTGTGCCTAGTGGAAAAAGCTGCCCTGCTGTGCTGTTCTAGGAATTGCAACAGTGAACAAAACAGTGCTTGATTTCGAGAAGCTTACATTCTAGTTAGTAAGAAAGATACAATAAACAAAATTAAGTACATTTAACATGCGAGGTGGTTATAACTGCTAAGGAGAAAAAGCGGAGAAGGGAAATAGGGAGTCTTGACAATTTAGACCGAGTGGACACGAAAGCTTCACTGGGAAAGTCTCGGAACAAACCACGAGTGCGCTTGCGAGAAAAGCAATTCAGGAAGGACCAGCCTCAAAAACAAATCCCAGCGCAACGTTCCCTAAAGGGTCGCTCCCAGAGTTACGTATTCCCACAGCCTATGAGCGAGGCCGTAGAAAGTCTGGTCACACGTACCTGCAGCCGCAAACTCCATTTTGCTTCCTGGCACCAGTCTAAGGTACGCCTGCTCCTCACTGCCATACTTACCCGCTCTTCAACCCCGATGCCGGTCTTTTTCATCTCCGGGTGAACCGCAGAGGGAACCCGGTGGCGGGGGAGGGAAGCAGTGAGGGCCAGCCGCGGTGGGGAAGGACCGGGGTGTCCCGCGCTGCCCTCACACAAGATGGCGGCCAGAGCCTTGCGCTCGGTCCCATCGGGCAGCGCGCGAATGCTTATCCCGCAGTCTCCCGCACCGCACCGGGGGGTGGGTTTTTACTGAGACGAGGACGTGCGCCGTGAGGCCGAGCTCAAGTCGTCGGCGCCGCGGTTGCCTCCGCTGCCTCCGCTCCCGCCGTCAGCACCACCGCCACACCACTCCCAGACAGTGGAGGGGAGGATGGAATCCGTGACCGTCGCTACCGACGGCGGGGACAGGCCGGCGGTCCCGGCAGGCTCAGGCCTGTCAGCTTCCCAGCGTCGCGCGGAGCTGCGGCGGAGAAAGCTGCTCATGAACTCGGAACAGCGCATCAACCGGATCATGGGCTTTCACAGGCCCGGGAGCGGCGCCGGTGAGAGCCGTGATTTTTCATGTCTCTCGCCCCCCCCCCCATTAAGTTTTCGGGATCATCCCTCCCCACCTCCACTCCGCTGACCTTTTGACCAAGCCCTGCTCTCTGACCTCTTCCCCGGCCCCGCCCTTCAGATGATACCCCAAGTTCTCACTCCTGTATCCCGGGACCTTCCTAGTCGCTCTCCCCTAATTTTCCGGGAGCCTCTTCTTGAGATTGTCCCCATCCCCGCTGCAAAGCCTTCGATCCTGAGTCCCTCTGCCGTGCTTCCTTCTGCCCAGTTACCCGGAGACGGCCCCTTTCTCCTTCCCTACCCCGTCGCCTTTCTTGAAGGGAGCATTGTATGCCCAGTCCGCTCTGCCCACTACGCCCCTCAGGAAGATTTCTGTCCTTTCTGTCCGTTCCAAATGTTTTTCCTTCCAGTGCCTTCCCTAGTGTCTATTTCTTTTGCCTTTTGCTGTAGAACTCTTGTCCGCCCACATCAGCTTGTCTTTACTGAACTGCCCCCTAGTCCCTCCTACGTGGATCAGGCACTCTTATGGTCATATCCTAGTGTTCAGTGCCCTCAACGCTGTCACCTACAGGCCTTCTAGAAGAGGTGAAAAAAATAGGAGTGAGCATTCTTTATAGACCCAGCAAGTGCGACGTGCCCACTTGAGGTTTCTTTTCATTAGCTGAGCTTGATGTGATTGATGTCTGGAACATCAATCCTTATTTATCCCCCAAAGACATGTCTATCGAGTTTTTTAAATAATTTTTTTTCATGTGGACATAATTGAACATTTAGTATGTCTTAGCATTATCTAAGTGTCCATCGAATGTTTCCTTTAGTAATTGGCCTTTAGTCACTGGTTGCATGCTCCTTAGATCTTAGTGTCTTTTGTTCTGTGAGGCTTTAGATATATAGCTCTGAAAGTCTAAACAATTCAAACGAGAGAGGTAAGAGCACCACTTCATATTCTTTCAGGACAACAGTTAGGACAAACATTTTCTTTTAATGACTGGTATCAGGATACTATTTTTTTTTTTTTTGGTGGCTGGCCGTTCCAGGATATTTATTCTTTCCCAAAGCATTGTTTGTTATCTTTCTTGAGGCTCTTTTTATATTTTGTTCTTTTGCTTTGAAAAATTTATCTGTCTCGAAGTCTTTTTGTTTTTAAACCAGAGCAGCATCCTAAAACTGCTGAAGTACCTACTAATGGCTGCCTGACTACATAAATAATAGCTGTAAGATATGCCACACCCTATGCTAACAGGGCTCTGCATTCAGAAATCTAATTTTAAATACAGATTTTAAAAAGCTTTAATGATTTTATATTTTTAACCAAAGAAGCTATGAAGACAATGTAGTCATACTTCTGGGGTACATTATCCGTGAAAAGTTAGTCTTTCAGCTTCCTCCATCCCTGAATGTCTTTCCCAGTTTGTCTACTGGTCTTATCTCTTACTCACAAAGTTTGAATTATTTCCTCTGCAGGAATACTCTTTTTGGATGATATATTTTGAGGATATAGAGCAAGGAACTAGTTTTCATTTTATGCAGAATGAGTATTTATTTCGGTTCAGATATTGTTGACTTCTAGCTGCAGCAGCATATTTTTTAATACTAACATGTAAGGTGTTTGCCAGTATGTAATACATAAAGCTTTTACATTTCTGTTTTTAGAAGAAGAAAGTCAAACAAAATCAAAGCAGCAGGACAGTGATAAACTGAACTCCCTTGGCGTTCCTTCAGTTTCAAAGCGAGTAGTGCTGGGTGATTCAATTAGTTCAGGAACAACTGACCAGCAGGGTGGAGTGGTCGAGATAAAGGGGACCCAACTGGGAGACAAATTGGACTCTTTCATTAAACCACCCGAGGGCAGTAATGATGTCAACCTTGAGCTTCGGCATCGGAACAGAGAGGACCTGACAGCGGACACTGTCCAGAGGGGTTCTCACCATGGTCTAGAACAGTACCTGTCCAGATTTGAAGAAGCAATGAAGCTAAGGAAACAGCTGATTAGTGAAAAACCCAGTCAAGAAGATGGAAGTTCAACAGAAGAATTTGACTCTTTTCGAATATTTAGATTGGTGGGATGTGCTCTTCTTGCTCTTGGAGTCAGAGCTTTTGTTTGCAAATACTTGGTAAGACAAGAGCTGTAAACTGTTAACTAACTTAATGGAAAACGCAAATTGGTTATAATAATGAGTGCTTTTAATCCACAGACATCATTGCTGATATTAATTTAATGTCTACTAGATGCACATAGCTGTTTGGAGGTGTATTATAAAGTTTGCTATTCATCTTATTTATACAATGAGGTGTTCTGGCTAAATATACAGAGCCTAATAGTAAAAATTACTAAATTCTTTCTACATGCTAGGCACCATTTTAAGTACTTTACATATATTAATTCTATAATTCTTATCCTCATGAACTGGGTATCATTTGTTTTTTATTTATTTATATTTTAACTTATCAATATACAATATAGTTGATTTTTGTGTCCCTTTACCGATTCTCCTTTTCTTCCCTCCCTCTCTCCCCTCCCCCCCACCAACATCATATCTGTTCACTTGTCTTAACAAGTTCAAGGAATTGTTGTGATTGTTGTGTCTTCTCCCTCCTCCCCCCAACCCCGTTCATTTGTATATTATTTATTTTTATTAGCTCCCACAAATAAGTGAGAACGTGTGGTATTTCTCTTTCTGTGCCTGGCTTATTTAACTTAATATGATTTTTTCTAATTCCATCCATGTTTCTGCAGGTGGTAGTGTTTCACTTTTTTTTTAATAGCAGAGTAGCATTCCATTGTATAGATATAAACTAGGTATCATTTGGATCCATGAGGGAATGAGCACTCAGAGAGATCCTCATTTGCCCAGGGTCACATAGCTATTAGATGACAATTGGGATTAAACCCAGGCAGTTTCATCTCAGAACCAAAGGGTCAGATGCCTACGTATGATGTATACTAATTACCAATTTTCCAATAACTTAAAATATTAAAATACAGTTCCTTTGGTTCTGAATATGAGGTAATTTTTCTGTGGTTCAGAAAGCACCTCAGCATTCTATAATGTTGTAGTAACATTATGATGACAGTCCATTTTTGTTGTACTGTGATGGGGTCCTTTTGTTTTATAGTATGTGGGAAAATGCAGAAAAGCATGGCTCATAGTTTAGTGTCTTGCTCTCTGAGGTATTTCCATTCAGTAGTCGTTTTAACAATACCTACCATGTATCAGGCACATAAATAAATTTCCCAGAAATAAGGTTTATATCATTAAGCACAACATCTTTTTTTTTTTTTTTTTAAAAAGATGACCGGTAAGGGGATCTTAACCCTTGGCTTGGTGTTGTCAGCACCACGCTTACCCAGTGAGCTAACCGGCCATCCCTATATGGGATCCGAACCCGTGGCCTTGGTGTTATCAGCACCGCACTCTCCCGAGTGAGCCACAGGCCGGCCCACAACATCTTTTTAAACCTATTTTTATACAAATGTTTTTGTAAATAGAATGTGTTGAACAGATCTGATTCCCCTTCCCATGACAAACTGTCATCAGCAAAGAGAAATGATGTTTTCAGCATTTAATGAGTTGTATAGCTGCTTTTTTGTCTCTTATGTAAAGGATTTTGTGCTTTCATGCCTTTAAACTTACAGTATGTCCTATTTTTGTTCCTCATTTTTGTACGAGGTTTTTTGTTTTGGTTTTCTGGTTTTTTTCACTGTCAGATTTTCAACTGTTTATCATTGCTTGCACCATACTGCCATCTAGTACCATCATAATACTTTTAATTATAGAAATAATTATGTAAATTAATGTTATTTTGGTTTTTTCACTTTGTCTGAGAAGCCAGATCATCAAGTCATTTTATCTGTAGTGAGAAGAGCTTTTCATTTCAGTGCCAGAGATGGTGGCCGTATGAGTTAATTTTTTGCCCCAAAGTCTGAGGAATGAATGGCACCTATTCTGAATGCTGGGCCTTTATGTGTGCTTGCAGGTTGTCAGTTAATTCCCTCTATGTGAGGTAGATATTACTGTACGATGTGTTATATATCATATGTCATCATGTGTGATATATTGGTATTATTTAATACTTTAAGTAACTTAAAAGATAAGTTTTTATGAGAGAAGACATTTTGGGGGGACACTAAAAGAATGTGAAAGAATTGTATGATTTGAGAAACATGTTTTATAGTTAGGAAATCAAATCTCTTTATTTTCTTCACCCTTCTGCAGAAACAAGATTACTTGCAGCCAGTAAAATTAAATATATTATTATAGTTTTTTTGTTTAGAATTTTATAGCTGCTGTTAGTTTGATTTATTGTTATTTGAATAATATGTTGGAAATACTTAATTTTGTCTTCTATCTTCGCAGTCCATATTTGCTCCATTTCTTACTTTACAACTTGCGTACATGGGACTATACAAATATTTTCCCAAGGTAAATTAAAATCTTTTCTAAAGTATCATGATGTATTTAGATTGATTCATAACTAGGTAATTTTAAGAACTTTTAAAAAAAGTTAGATCAATCATGCGTATGTAATAAAGCCAGAAAAAAAATTAGGCTTACTTGTTGTCTGAATCAGTACTACTCAAAATGTGGTTTTCCCACTAGTGCTGACCTTCAAAGTATTTGTTTCTGTTTGTAATGCATTAAGTTAAACGAGTGAGTAATTAGAAACTTTTTTAGCAATTTGACATTGCCATAACACTTTTATTATATTTTACAAATATGTTGGTCCACAGTTGATTGGGGGAAAAACTGGTCCTTCATGATGACAGTTTGAATAATACTTGTCTAAGAAAAGTGTTCAGTTTACTTAGTAAATTTAGTAATTCATTTTGTCTATAATAAAGGAAATTATTTTAAAAATGGGTTCCATTATCATTCTGTGCTCCTTACTGGACACTTAATAGCAGTGCTGTGCACTTTATCTTTGATGTTGAGGGCCTGATATTTGCAGGAAATATTTGGCCAGTATTACAGAACAGACTGCAAGTGAGAGTCAGTGTTTACCTGGTCTGCTTGACTGCAGATGTATACACAGTTTTATGATGCTTGGCTTGCATGACATAGAAGGTAACATTATTTGTGATAGAGTTTTGTGCACGCTTTTGCTGAACAATGGCTACTTGGCTGTTTGCTTAGTCATATCTAATGGGCTGACAGATCTGTGTGTGGTTTTAATGGATTTGAAACATTTGCATTTTTGAGGTGTCGAATACAGAAAGTAAAAGAGTACAGAAAGAAATGTGATTTTAATTAAAGTCTTTGTTTAGAAATTTGCCCTTGAAACATTGATTGCAGGGCCGGCCCGTGGCTCACTCGGTAGAGTGCGGTGCTAATAACACCAAGGCCACGGGTTCGGATCCCATATAGGGATGGCCGGTTAGCTCACTGGGTGAGCGTGGTGCTGACAACACCAAGTCAAGGGTTAAGATCCCCTTACCGGTCATCTTTAAAAAAAAAAAAAGAAACATTGATTGCAGTTATGCAATAGCAAAAGTTTGGAAACCACCTAAATGTCCACTAATAAGTGACTAAATAAAAAAAATTATGGCATATCTATTCAGAATGAAGAAGCTCTCCAAGAAATCTTAAGAGAAACAAAAGGTAGATTTCAAATGTTAAGGAAAAAAACAGTGTGCAGAATAGGATTTATATTATACTCCTTTTTTTGTGAAAAGGAGGAAAAATAATACATATTTGATTTTACTTACTTTTTTTTCCCTTTTTCATTTTTTTAGCAGCTGGTCGGTACAGGGATCTGAACCCTTGATCTTGGTGTTATAACACCACGCTCTAACCAACTGAGCTAACTGGCCAGCCTATCAACAGTGGTTATTAGTGATAGGTGTGTGTATGGCTTCCTAGGTGAATGAGGGAGAGAAAAGGAAGACTATTATATACTTTCTTCCAACAAAACATTTCGTTATAGCAGTTTTTACATATAAAAGTTGAAAGAATTGTGCAGTGAACACCCATTTATACCTCCCACCTAGATTCTATAGTTAACATCTCATATTTACCATGTATCTGTCCAATTTTCTATCCATTTTCATACCATCTTATTTTTCTTGATGTGTTTCAAAGTTTATTGTGGAATTACATATCAGTATACTTCACTCCTCTTATATAACATTGACCCAGAATTCAGTGTTTGTTTAGGGTTCTTTTTTTTCAAAGGTAAAATTTTCGTAACGGAAATGCTTAAGTCTTAAGTGTGCGGTTTAATAAGTTTTGACAGTTTTTTTTTTCTTTTAACAATGCTTTTATTTATTTATTGAAACATAGTTGATTGTACATATCTATGGGGTACCGTGATTTTTCCTATCATTTCTGTCAGTCTAAATCCTGCTCATCATTACAGTCAGCTTTTTTTTTTGTTTTTGGGTGGCTGGTGGGTACAAAATCTTGCTCATCCTCAAAGGCCTATTTTTAATTCTGTTACTTCTGAAATCCTTCCTTATGCTTTATTTAAAACACTGGAGCAGTTTTTATCTCCTTTGAGCTCCTATGCCACACATTATCCATGTCATTCATTTAGCAGTTATTTATGTCCTGTATTGTAATGTTTTTCCTGTTTTTGCCTTGAGCTCTTATTTGTATCTCAAATCATTGTTTATGTCTTGCTTCCAAGATGACACATTTTTAAAACTTCTGATAGCAAGAATTGTGTCTTCTATTACATAGCAGTTTGCTGATTATGTATTATATGCTCAGTAAACATTCACATATTGATTGTTTTGAAACTTTATTTACAGTTTTGAAATTATTTAGGCAAAAATAACAGTATTGATTATATTTTTATAGAGCTTAACTAGTCTGCTGTAAAATTAATTTGAGTCTTTCTCTATACAGGGTGAAAAGAAGGTAAAGACAACAGTACTAACAGCTGCTCTTCTGTTATCTGGAATTCCTGCTGAAGTGATAAATCGATCAATGGATACCTATAGCAAAATGGGCGAAGTCTTCACAGATCTCTGTGTCTACTTTTTCACTTTTATCTTTTGTCATGAACTGCTTGATTATTGGGGCTCTGAAGTACCATGAAGCCTGTAGAACTCAGAAGAAGCTTACATATTGCAGTGTCTCTAAAGGAGGCAAATTGGTTTACACCTTTATGGAATTCTTTTACTTTATAGAGGTTGTAAAACCACTCTATTAGGAATGAAACGGCAGTTCCCCTGATTTAAAAGGGTTGAGTTTGTATTAGTACTGATATGAAGAATAGAATACCAGTACCATTAATTGGTTTTTCTTGTTTAATTAAAATCCCTACTTGATACCTTTCCCCTAACTTCTCAGATTTGTAATTCCTCTTTTGGGGGCCGAACTAGTGCTTTTAGGAGAGCAGATGAACATGGTCTCAGCCAGCCTTAAGGACTGCTTCTTGTATGTGTGTTGTTCTGTTCTGAGAAATGAAGCCATCTTAAAAATAAAATGAAAGAAACTGAAGTCTGCACATTTCAATTTAAGGGCTGAATAAAGTAGCTAATCTTTTCTTGTTGAGTTAGTATCTTAATTTTTACTCCACAAATATTTAATGGAAGAAATGATTAAGATTCATACATGTGAAATCAGAAGGTACTTATAAAAATTTCATTTGCTATATGTCAAACTCAGAATTGGAAATTTTCTCTTTTGGAGTTTTCAGTTTTTGGAAGTCTGAGGGTACTTCAAAAAAGATCGTGGAAAGATTCGTGTTATCTTTCAAATCTATTTTTCTATGAACTTTTTGAAGAACCCTCATATTTTTTAAGCAAACTAGAACAGAACGATTAGATATAAAACTGAAATCTGAAGAATTGAGGCATGCAGAACCCAGTAACATAAATATCCTTTTAACTAGGTACACAGTGTCATATTTGGAAGGTTTGTCTTAGAAGAATATAAAACTTGGGCTGAGTCCGTGGCGCACTCGGGAGAGTGCGGTGCTGGGAGCGCAGCAGCACTCCCGCCGCGGGTTCGGATCCTATATAGGGATGACCGGTGCACTCACAGCACTCACTGGCTGAGCGTGGTGTGGCCGGTCTCAAAAAGGACAAAAAAAAAAAAGAAGAATATAAAACTTAAGTGTTGTATCACTTGGTGTTACATTTCCTTATAGTTCTTTGTATGGACTATTTGGTTAATTCTTGTGATATTAAAAATACAGACTTTTTTTATTACTCACTGTCTTGATTTTTGTCATTTTATTTTGAACCAGAGTAATAGAGAATAAGTATAACAATATCTCTATTCTTTTGATTTAGGATTAAGAGTACAAGTACACATTTTTCCAGATTCCGTATGAATCTAGTATCTAGAGGACTGTAAAGCATCTTTACAGTTGTCACTTCCATGCTTAATCCCTGGGAAGATGCTAGTAGTCTTCAGTTGCACGTTTACTACTTGTCTTTCTGAAAAACAAACAAAAAAACCCACTTAGCCAATTGACACATGCAAAGTTTTAGTTAATTGTAGATTATTGCCGAATTATATTTCAAAAAGAGCTGTAAGCTGTGTCTTTTGGTGCCACTTTTTCTCTTCAAGTGATTGGCATCTCCTTTATTGTTTGTTTAAGTGTGTTGAATAATGCCAAATGGGAATGGAAGTTTCTTAGTGCTTGGAATAATTAAAATGCTATTATTTAGAAATTTCAGAAATGTATGAGTTAAAACTAGACCGACAGATGGTTGTTTAAAGGTGACACTCGGGAGAGTGTGGTGCTGATAATACCAAGGCCACGGGTTTGGATCCTATGTAGGGGTGGCTGGTTAGCTCACTGGCTGAGCATGGTGCTGATGACACCAAGTCAAGGGTTAAGATCCCCTTACTGGTCAACTTAAAAAAAAAAAAAGGTGACATCTTTGACTATTAGTTTGTCCATTAGTTTTTTGGTCTGATTAGTTGTCTTTGTCCATTTTCTGTCTCTTATAATAGAATACATGAAACTGGGTAATTTATAAAGAAACAACTTCTTACAGTTTTGGAGGCTGGAAAGTCCAAGGTCAAGAGGGTGCATCTGGTGAGGGTTTTCTTCCTAGTGGGGACTCTGCTCAGAGTTCTGAGGTGGCCCCGGGCATCACATGGCAAGAAGGCTGAGCATGCAAATGTGCTCACTAGTCTCCTTATAAAGCCACCAGTCTACTCCCAGGATGACCCATTCATCCATTAACTCAAGTCCATGAATGGATTCAGTCATTCATGAGGGCAGGTCCCTTATGATCCAATCACCTCTTAAAGGCCCCACCTTTCAAATACCATAGTCACATCTCCCACTTTCTTACTACTGTTGTAATGGGAATTAAGTTTCAATATGAGATTTAAAAGGCACATTCAAACTATAGTGGTTGTGTAAATGGACATGTTGTATATCACAGTTGGTACTAAAAACAGCAAGAGGGTTATGAGATGCTCAGCTGGGTTAATTAGAATCAAAATATGCTGCTTTGGAAGCCAGGACAGTTTGCTGAAAGTGATGTATTAGAGATAGTGGACTATAATCACTTCTTTCACTTCTGCTAATAGATACACACTTTTTGGAGAACTCAGAACTAATGTGAACTTGCTATGAATATGTTGTAGGCATGAAATATTCAAGCTAATTAGAATTCTCATGTTAATGTGTTCTCTTAAAGGGGAGTTAGGAATAAAGTATCTGGGCTCACTTGTTAGCTCAGTTGGTTAGAGCGTGGTATCAGAATACCAAAGTCAAGGGTTGGGACCCCCATACCAACCACCCGCACCCCTCCCCCCCCCAAAAAAAAAGTATCTTGAAAAGAGCTTTGGCTTAGGTATCAGATGCCTGCGTTCTAGTTCCAGTTTACATTCCAACAAAATTAGTGATCTAGGACTAAAAATGTTTCCTGAGTCTCAGTTTTCTGAAAGTCATGAAGTTTGAGTATGTGATTTAAAAAATCCGTTCCAGCTATAATATTAATTCTGTGATTCTAAGCAATATTAGAATTGTGTTAATTTCAAAAGTTAAAGACAATTATTTCCTTTGATTTCTGCATGGCTTCACCCAGTTCCATGGCTTCAAATACTAAGTATTGTACATTCTATAAAATGCTGACAACCCATATCTCTCTCAACTTTATATCTCCCTTGAATAGCCATTATCTCCTGCATGTCTACTAGGCTTCTCAAACATCACGAGTGAAATAGAACCACTGATTATCTCTCCTTCCTCCACCAAATCTGCTTCTCCCAAGCCTTTCTCATCTCCACAGATTTGCCACAATTCACAATAGCTCTGTTGAAAACAGTTCGCATCCAATCATCAATTAGTGTTTTGAGAACTACCTCCAGAATACATCTGGAATCTGACCACTTCTCACTGTCTCCACTGTTTAAACCACTAACGGTTTCCTGTTTCTCTTAGACTCCTTAACTGCTGCCTACATCCAAGCAGATTGCAGTGCCTCTGATGCCTGACCCTACTTGGTGTCCATCCTGTCACACATTAGCTCAGGCCTTCTAACCCTTGGACTGCCAGACCCTCCAGTCTCTACCCCTCTTCAATGTTACTCACTGCTGCCATAGGGGAAGAGCAGAAACTCATCTTGGAGTCTTACTCATTGGTTTCATTTTTATTTTATTATTATTTTGTTGTTGTTTCTGGTGGCTGGCCAATATGGGGATCTGAACTCTTGACCTTGGTGTGGTTTCATTTTTTAAAAAAAACCAACAGTAAAACGAACTAATTTGAAGCGTCTATGTTAGTTAGTTTTAACAAATGCATACTCGTACATCCACACGATGACTGCCACAATCAAGATACAGAACTTTTCTATTATCTTTTGATGTAAGAAAGTAAAATAGTTCAGAGGCATGTAAAGTAAAAATGAGAGCCTCTGCCCAACTCCGTTACAGCTTTCTGCAAAAACATTTCTGTGTGATCCACGAGGCTGGTTTTTTTCAATCTTGACTGTACGTCAGAATTACCTGGGAAGCTTAAAAATTTCCAGTGCACAAGATGCACTCAGACGAATTAAATCAGAACATCGGGGTGGAACACCGATTGCCAGGTCAGGCAATGTTAAGAACCATTATAATCTTTTGCTAATATATTTTTAGTTAGCTCTTAGTCCTCTTCTACAGCGGTTAAACTCCTACTTGGTCTTCAAATCTCACATCAAAGGTCACTTGCTTGCTTAGGGAACTCTTTCTGATCCCCTATCCAATGGTTGACTCTCCTTGCTATATTACATCTGCTTGCATTTTCAGTCATGTCTATTTCCTACCCTTGACTGTAAGCTCCCAGGATCTAGCACCTGCCTGGCACATGACAATGCATATAAACACGAGTGGGTGTATAAATGAATAGAGTGTATGGAGATGGTTGCACTATTATTTAGCTCCAATTAGGGCAGACTTCCGTACAGGTCCTGGGACAGCAGCGGCCTGCCCAGGACGCCCTCGTGGCCCTTGCAGGAAAGACCCTCTCAGGGCCGGCTAAGGCTGTGGAGCCCCCCGGTAGTGCCAACGCACTCCTTTCGGCGCTGCCCGCGCTGTGCGCCCTCCAGCCGAGAGGCGGCGCTGTGGAGAGGCAGCCGTTTCCGGCCGGCTTTTCCCTTCCTCCTGCCACTGGCGCCAGCACGTCCTGTTTTCGTTGGCTGCGCTGGGATGGCCGCCACTGCTGGAGCTGCTGCCCTCTTCTAGTGCTGGTCCTTGCCCGGCTCTCCGAAGGCAGCGCGGTTTCCTCCTTTGTCCCGTTCATCTACGCGTCGTCCCCAGCGGCGCCGGCTTTCCTGCGGCGCCGGCTTTCCTGCGGCCGGTAGCATGGGTCGGGAGTCACGGTAAGGCATTGCGCCGGGCGGGCGAGCGGGCAAGTGGCTTCTTGGGATCGTGAGAAGAGGCGGGAGTTAAAGTGGTTGAGGGGCTAGGCCGGGCACGTGCGGCCGGCGCTGCTCCGCGGCCACTATAGGGGTTGAGGACCTCGGCTGAAGGAATGGCTGTGCTCGGGCCGGCGACGGGCACAGCTTCTCCTGCCCTTCCATCCGCCGGTTCGAGCCCTTGAAGCGGGAACAACCCTCCAGGACGTCAGTGATTGGGCACCACATCCCGCCACTTCCACGCAGCGTACCCAGATCACCTCAGTCATTGGTGATCCCTGTTGAATTTCTCATCGCTTCGCGTTTGCAGCATTTCCTTGGCGCCCATCACTCTGCATTTTAGTTATCTGTGCCCTATGTGGTATTTTCCTAAGTCAGTTGATAGGAGCGTGTAGGCAGACATTTTTACCGCACCTACCGCACTACACGACTAGGCTTTTAGTGGGTTACTATAAATATTTGTTGCGTGGACATTTACTTCGCAAACAAATTTCATATGTTTTTGTTATCTGCTTTCTATCCCTTTGAAACTATGGACTGGGAAATCTTATTAGAAATATGAGATCTCATCATAACTTCAGATTGTTGATAACTGGTTCGGGACCTTGAGGTTTGTTATCTTAAAGATGACTATTAGCTTGTATTTAGCTGTGGCTGTGTTTATATCTAGGGACAGTGAGAG